TGGGATGGGGAGTGGGCGGATACTGGGATGCGTGGTGGTGGGAAGTGGAGGGATGGTATTTGATCATTGTATAATTGAAACCCAAGCACAAAAATGTGTAAGTCTGCAACTGTACCTCATGATGTCTCACTATTTAAAAAAAAAAATGGTACCCTGAAGACTGAAACAGTAATCATGAGTTATATGAACTTAAGTAACAAGGACTTAAGAGAGGAAGTGTCAAGGATATTTAAGGAGCAGAAAGAAACAATGGAACAGACAGCAGGTAAAACACAAGAGGATATGGGATCATAAAATAAAAAACTACAAACAGAAATGACTTAATTAAAGAATTTGGTAGGTGACATAAAAAACTCACTGGAAGGCCTCAGCATCAGCGTAACAGTAGCTGGAAGCAAAGTCAGTGAACTCCAAAGTAAAATGCAGAAAACCCCAAAGAACAACAAATGATTTTTTAAATACTAATAATAAATGAACAGCAGACAAAAGAAATCTGGGATGAATTCAATAGGTACAACATAAGAATTATCAGGGTCCCAGGGGACAGGAACTTCTAGTTTCCCTTATGAAAAAGCAACAATCAAAAGCATCACTGCTGAAAAATTCCCAAAGCTGGAAAGCACAGGCACACAGTTCCAAGAGGCCTGAAAGGTACCAACTAACAGAGATCTTAATAAAAATACTGCAAGCCACACCCCAATCAGAGTGATTAATGCCACAGATAGAGATATAATATTTAAAGCAGGAACATCAAAGTAAGAAATTACATAAGAAGGAGCATTAATAAAAATTACAACAGATTTATCATATGAGATCCTCCAGGCACAAAGACAATGGCAGGATATAGTTTTTAAATAATGAATGTCTCACCAGGAATACTTTACCCAGACAGGTTCTCATTCAGATTTGAAGAGACAATACACAATTTACCAAATAAATCAATTCAGGAGCTTCATCGATTTAAAAACTTTGCTAGACAAACTAGGAGGGGTACTCTAAGACAAGACACATCTCACTAGCAGACCAAACGTTTACATAATGGTGGAACAAAACCACAGCACCCAAAAGGAGAGAGAGAACAAAAGAGAATGCCCTGCCACAGAGGCAGGATAGGATGGGGGGATGGGGGGTGGGAGGGATACTGGGATCAGTGTTGGTGGAGCATGGACACTGGTAGAGTCATGGGTACTCGATCATTGTATAACTGAAACCCAAGCACAAAAATTTTTAAGTCTACAACTGTACCTCATGGTGTTTCACTAAAAAAAAAAAATTTAAATTTAAAAAAATTAAAAATAAAATAAATTTGAAAAAAGAAAAAAAAATTACATGAAAATAATCGTACTCAATGTCATTGTCTGAAACGCACCATTTAATAGTAACAGAGTGGTAGGATAGACTGTAACATTAAATCCAAATCTCTGCATATTACAAGAAACACAGTTGAACATGAGGCCAAATACAGACTCAAAGTCAAAGGTTGGAAGACAGTATTCCATGCAAACAACCCCCACAGAAGATAGATCTGACTGTATTAGTATAAGATAAAACAAAATTCAAGATTAAAATGGTGATAAGAGATAGAGTGGACCATTTCTTAATGAAGAAGAGATATGGAAGAACTTATCAGGAAGAACTCACCTCCTAAACATATGTCCACCTAACAAGTGACCAGCAAAATACATAAAACAACTGTTATTAGACTTGAAGAAAGATATCAACAATGCAATATAGTTGGATATTTCAACATCACTCTATAACCACTTGATAGATCAACTAGATTAAAACTCAACAACAAGGAAATACTTGATTTGAAGAAAGAAATGGAAGAGAGGGGTTTACATATATATATATATATATATATATATATGTACATGATTTTTGATTTCCAAAAAGTATAATATACATTATTTTCCAATACACACAGGATATTAGAATGTTCTATTATGCTAGGCCACAAAACATATCACCATAAAAGTTAAGGGCTTAGAAATCATATCAACTATCTTCTCAGAGCATAAAAATATAAAAATAGAAACCACAAACACAGAGAAACAATTAAAGCCCAAGGAAATTAAACAGCACACTACTGAAAAATAAAGGGTCAGAGGGGAATTAAAATATTCTGGGAAACAAAGGATAATAAGGACACAAACTACCAAGGTTCATTTGACACAGCAAAAGCTATATTAAGTGGAAAGTTAATAGTTATGCAAGTATTCATCAAGAAGAAAGAAAGGGCACCCACAAATAACCTAATAGCACAGCTTGAGAAAATGACAAATGAGCAGCAAAAGAAACCCAAAGCAGCAGGATGAAGGAAATAATAAAAATTAGATCGGGAATTAATTATTGGAATCCAAAAAAATCCAAAAGATTAATGAAATTGAAAGCTGGTTCTCTGAAAAAATAAGCAAGATTGATAAACCTCTAGCAAAACTCACAAAGGAAAAAACAACTTCAGTTAGCTGAATCAGAAATAAAAGACATGGAAATCCACTGGCCTGCAAGAGAGGAGGCTGCGAGCCACTCCAGGGCGAATTTTGGATCTAGGAGAGACTTTCTCCTTACAGCTACCTGTGAAACCCACCCGGGAAAAGCACAGTTGTTCCGTGTCTGTGTGTTTATTCACCACTCCATAATTCATCATAAACATACAAAGACACCTTAAGGTATGCTCCTAACCACACAAAATTATGCAAGAAACAACTCCAAACTGCAAATATGACGATGGTATAGCAACACAGGAACCCACCAGACTTAAAGAGTGGAGAAACTAGTTCAGTTGACCCAAACAATAATAATAAGCAATATCATCTCTCTGATAAGGAATTTAGAATGGAACTGCCAAGGATGTATAACAATGGAACACACTGCCAATAAAATACAGGAGAATATGAGAGCAGAAATGAGGGGAATGCAAACCAAAATACATCAGATAACAGATCTGAAAAACCTGGTAGGTGAAGTGAAATACTCACTGGAAAACCCCAGCAGGAGAGTAACAGCTGCTGAGGACAGAATCAGTGAGCTCCAAGGTGAGGTGCAGAAAATCTCCAAACAGGGGCCAGAGGGATGGTACAACGAATAGGACATTTGTCTCACACGCAGCCAACACAGGTTCAATCCCTGGCATCCCATGTGGTACCCCAAGTACCACCAGGAATGATTCCTAAATGCTGTGCCAGGAGTAATCCCTGAGCATCATCAAATGTGACCCAAAAAGGAAAAACAGGAAAAGGAAAAAAAAAAAGAAAATCTCCAGACAATAGCATAAGATGGAAAATGCTCTCAAAATAAACCAACAGATAACAAGAGAACATCCCAATGAAGTCAAGAGGAAAAACGTAAGAATCATTATGGTACTGTGGGGAGGGCAGTGCATGGGGGGCGGTGGACAGAAAGAAAACCCTGATGAAGAAGCAACCATCAAAGCTCTTTTTGCTGAGAAGTTTTGGAGCTAAGGCGTGCATGTACCCAAATCCAGGAGGTCCAAAGGGTACCAGCTAAAAGAAATACAAATAGAAATACTCCAAGACACATCCTAAACAGAATGACCAAAACCATAGAAAAGATATAATACTGAAAGCAGCAATACCAAAGAAGAAAATTGCTTATAAAGGAGCATCCTTAAAATTCACAGTAGACTTATCTGATGAAACCCTCTGGGCCTAAAGACTGTGGTTGGATATAGTGAAATAATTCAATAAAATGAACACCTCACCAAGAACACCTCAGCAAGAATCTCATTCTCTCATTCAGATTTGAAGGAACAACATGCAACTTCACAGAAAAACAACTCAGGAACTTTGTAGACTCAAAAATCATTGTTACAAGAACAAAATGGGTTACTTTAAGATAAGACAAGCTCCACAAGTACACCAAACTCCTACGTGAAGATGGTACTAATCACCACACAGCTCCCAGAGAATTCTCCAGGCCCCATCCTGAGCCGATATCACAGGGAGGTCCCAGATGTGGTAGGTGCTGTCTCTCCGCCTTCTCCAGATGAAATCCCGGTGACCATGAGCTTCTACAAGCACAGCTCTGGCATGCGGGTACCAGGACTATTTCCTGATATTCAAAGTGATCAATGGAAAGCAAGTGATCTAGCATTTGTCCCTAAAAATCAGTCTTGAGTGGTGGTGGGAAAATCTGAGCAAAAAGACAATGCCCAACCAAAATACATCTGGACTGTGTATTTAACTATGGTGCTATGCCGCCCTGGGAGGGGAAGGGTAATGCAACAGTTATGTGTACCTAAGTTGAGAACTCACACTTAGAAAATCCTAAAGATGCTACAAAAATAGCTCTTGGAAACAATTGATTTGTATAGTAAAGTAGCAAATTACAATCAATACTCAAAACTCCATGACTTTCCTATATGCACATATCACTTGATTACTTGACATCCCGTTACTCATCGATTTGCTTGAGCGGACACAAGTAACATCTCCATTCGTCCCTGTTGCATGCTAGTATAGCCCAATGGCGTCTGCTAGCTCCAGGAACACAAAAGCCTCAAACCGATTGTTCAAGGTCTTGATGAAGAAGTCTGACCATCTCGTAGGTTGGCGGCGACATGATCTTTTGAAGTCCTGTGGAATCCAGTCGGTAATGGCTCTAGTCCAGCAGTCATCTCCAAACGTGTTACATGTCCAGCCCATCTGACTTTTGATGCCTTGGCAAACAAGACAGCATCCCTGATTCTTGATGGTCAACAGAGGTCGAAACTCTGAATTCTTTCTCTCACTTGAGTGAAGCAAGATACTCCAAGCATAGCTCTTTTGATTCCTCTTTGGGAGACCCAAATATCGTTCTCATCCTGTTTTTGTAGGCCCCAGATCTCTGAGGTGTATGTTAATGCAGGAGAAAGAGTGGAATCGAAGAGATGTGCCCGGAGCAGGAGTTTCTTTGTCCTCTTAGCTATTTTTCTGATGCTCTTGAAGTTCCAAGCCGCTCTCTTCCCTCTGTGCAACTCAGGTGCCAGGTCATTCATCATGTTGAGTTCTCAACCTAGGTACACATAACTGTTGCATTCGGAGATGTTCATTCCATTGAGAACGAATGGAACATCAGAATGAGTCCATTTCTCGTAAACTTTGTCTTTGTGAGATTCAGCTGCAGTCCAATCTTTCCACACTCACAGTCAAAGTCAGCCAGCATTTGTGCCACTTGGCTAATGTTTGGTATTATTAGAACGATGTCATCAGCGAAGTGGAGGTGGTGTAGTTGCCGACCGTCTAGCTTCACTCCCATTCCTTCCCATTCCAGTTGTCTCATGATGTTCTCGAGGGTGGCACTGAAGAGTTTCCATGAAATGTATCACCCTGCCCTCTCTTGACATGGATGATCACTTCCTTGTAGAATGGTGAGATCCTGGTAGTGAATCCATAATACAGTTCATGGAGGATCCTAATGTATTGAGTTTGAACACTCTGTTTGGCTAGGGCTTCGATGATGGCTTCAGTCTCTACAGAATCAAAGGCCTTCTATGCACATATTATATGCACATAATTAAAGAGAAAAAAGATATTTTTTAAAAACAACCCCATTTACAAATATGTGTCAGAAAATTGGTACCTTATGCCCAGGTAATGCGGGACTTTGTGACCTTGATCTCTGGGCTCAATGGGACCCGGGAGCAGAGATCCTCTGCCCATTTCCCCCAGTCTCTGGGCACCCAGGGGTCATGCCCATAAGCCACCTCCTGTTGGCACCAGATAATCTCGTCATGGGCCACCATCCAGATGACTCAACTACTTCTCCTGGAAGGGAGCATAACATGAGGCCCCCAGAGCCTTGCCACTGGACTCCACGCCAGGCTGTTTCACACTGTGTGCCCCAGAGAAGGGCGGGTGAGAGCCTTCCCCACCCCAAGGGACCTACCTCCAGCAGCCAATCGCTGCCACGCTCAAGGTAACTCCCCACATGCTCGGGACAAGCCTCACATATGTGTGAACATATTCCAGGACACATCATAAGACACTCCCTACCCATTCTCCAAAATTACCACACCATATTTGATGGGTTTCAGATAGTAGGCAACAAATCATAAAGGGAAATATATGTATACATATATACATATTTTCAGATATACATACCAAAGTTCACATCACCCAAATTTTAACAACATGTTAGTGATATCCTATAGAATGTCTTAATGGCTCCTGCCAAAATAGAACAATCTTCACACTGTTTCCTATATGAACACTTTTTTGTAAGCATGTTCAGCAGTTCTTCATAACAAGCAATACAAAATAGATTATTTCGGTTGCAGTTTGGGACAGGGCTTGGGGCTTGGGATGGAAACATCCCAAATTTAGTGGTGGAAAGGTATAATGGGGGTGGGATTGGTGTTTAAATATTAAATTTAATCAAATATTTTGAACTAACTCATAAAAATTTAATAAAAGAAAATCAAGTACCTTAAAATCAGCTAAAGAGCTGAAAGACCTATACAAAGAAAACTACAAAATACTACTTCAAAAGATAAACAAGGACACATAAAATGAAGAATACATCCTCTGCTCATGAATTAGGAGGACTACATTGTCAAAATGGTTATATCTCCAAAAGCATTATTTAGATACAATGCAGTCCCCATAAAGTTACCCAAGACATTTTTCAAAGAAACAGATCAAGCACTTCTGAAATTCATGTGTAACAATAAACCCCACAAATAGCTGAAACAATCCTTGGGGAAAAAAACATGTTGCCATCACCTTTCTCAACTTCAAACTCTACTACAAAGTGGTACTAATGAAAACAGCATGGTACTAGAATAAAGACAAATCTGCAGGTTAGTGGAAAAGAGCTGAATATCTTGACACAAACCCTGAAATATATAATCACTTAATCTTTGATAAAGGAGAAAAATACAAGGTGGACCAAGGAAAGCCGCTCTACAAGTGGCGGTGGGAAAACTGGGCAGCCACATGCAAACAAAAAAAGAAAGAAAGAAAGAAAAGAACTCAAATCTCTAATGCCAGGCACAAAAGTCAGATCAAAATGGATCACATACTTCAGTATCATATCTGAATCCATCAAGTACACGAAGGAAAACATAAGCAGAACGCACCCCCATGACATTGAAGCTAAAGGTATCTTCAAAGATGAAATACCACTAACCAAGCAAATTGAAGCAAAGATAAACAAATGGGTCTTATTAAACTAAGAAGCTTCTCTACCTCAAAAGAAATGAGACCAAGATATAAAGAGAGCCCATGGAATGGGAAAAAGCATTTACCCAATACCAGTCTGATAAAGGGTTAATGTCAAAGATATACAAGGCACTGGTAGAACTTTACAGGGAAAAAAAATCCAACCCCATCAAAAACTGGCCGGCAACTACACCACCTCCACTTCGCTGATGACATCGTTCTAATAACACATTAGCCAAGTGGCACAAATACTGGCCGACTTCGACTCTAAGTGTGGAAAGGTAGGACTGCAGTTGAATCTCACGAAGACAATGTTTATGGGAAACGAACTCATTCCTGACGTTCCATTCACTCTCCATGGAACAAACATCTCCAAATGCAACAGTTATGTGTACCTAGGTCGAGAACTCAACATGACAAATGACCTGGCACCTGAGTTGTGCAGGAGGAACAGAGTGGTGTGGGATACCTTCAAGAGCATCGAAGAAATAGCTAAGAGAACAAAGAACCTCCGGTTCCGGGCACATCTTTTGGACTCCATCGTTCTTCCTGCATTAACATATGCCTCAGAGACCTGGGCCCTACAAAAACAGTATGAGAATGCTATTCGGGTCTCCCAAAGAGAAATCAAAAGAGCTATGCTTAGAGTATCTTGCTTCACTCAAGTGAGAGAAGGAATCTGGAGTTCCGACCTCCGTTGACCATCAAGAATCAGGGATGTAGTCTCGTTTGCCAAGGCGTCAAAAATCAGATGGGCTGGACACATAATGCAATTTGGAGATGACCACTGGACTAGAGTTGTTATCCACTGGATTCCATGGGATGTCAAAAGATCGCATGGCCGCCCACCTATGAAGATCAGACTTCTTTATCAAGACCCTGAACGATCGGTTTGAGGCTCTTTGTGTTCCTGGAGTGAGCAGACATCACTGGGCTACACTAGCACGCGACAGGGATAAATGGAGATGTTACTGGCGCCCACTCGAGCAAATCGATGAGTAACGGGATGTCAAGAGATCAAGTGATCAAAAATCAAAGAAATGAACAGAAACTTCCTCAAAGATAAATACAAATGACCAAAAGGCACATGAAAATATGCACTACATTGCTCATTAGCAGGGAGATGCAAGTCAAAACAACAATATCATTTCACACTGCAGAGACTGGCACACGTCCAAAAGAACAAGTACAACCAGTGCTGGTGCAGAAGTGGGGAGAAAGTCAACATAGATAACAGAGTCTGCTAAGTGGGGACATGAAACCTAAGAGAAAACTAGAGTAACATTGACGTTTTGGTGTTGGATGGGGTGTAGCATTTTATCCCTGAAACATTATTATTACCAGTATTGTAAATTATGGTTCCAAAATGTTTCTGTAGCACTGTAGCACTGTCCTCCCTTTCTTCATCGATTTGCTTGAGCAGGCTCAGTAATGACTCCATTATGAGACTTGTTACTGTGTTTGGCATATCGAATATGTTAGAGGTAGCTTGACAGGCTTTGCCGCGGAGAAGATACTCTCGGTATCTCAGAGATACTGACTCTCCAAGAGGGATGGAGGAATCGAACCCGGATTGGCAGGGCCAGCCACGTGCAAGGCAAACGACCTATCACTGTGCTATCGCTCCAGCCCCCTAAGTGTTTCTAATTTTAATAAACAAATAAATAAATAAAATAATTATGTAGTAGTGGTTCTGGATAAAGAGAGCCATATACAAAAATCTTCAATGTATAAAGAGGTGCTAAGGAGGTAAGGAGGTAAACATAGCAAGAAGGAGGGGTAACAGGCAAAAGAAAATCAAAGCTACATTCAAAACTGAGGATTACTCTGTAAATCTATGAATCTATAATAAATAAGGGTTTTTCCATATTTTACAGATGATGACACTGAGGTTAAGTGACTAGTTTAAGATCTCCCCATCAGAGAATGAAATTATAGGATAAAAATTACAAGGAGAGGAAAGTGTTACCCTGCCTCTAAATATTTCCATGATACGCTATGCTAAAAAGAACCCTTCCCTCTAGAATTCTCTCTTCCTCACCCTCAGAGTAATCCACTTGGACACTATACAAACTGCTAATTATAAGAGTGGAACATAGATTCCCCAGAGCTCCACCCTCTGGAGTTGATTCTAGTTGATTTCCCTGTTTACTCTCTCATGAGGATCGAACACTCTACCTCTTTCTCTATAACTCCTACTGCCTTTTACAATCAGGAAGAATATTTCTGTTACTACCAACAACTAATTTTGATTGCAACTACCAATAGGCTCAAACTTTTACCTTTCCTTTTCTCCATTACAGAGCTGTCCAGGATTAGACATCATCACCTCAGCCTGAATCTCTATGCTTCACAAGACTTAGGTGGTTTCTTGTCTGAATACATTCTATTCCTTCCTCTGCTGACAAGCAAGATATCACCTATTCTACATCTTCCTATTAAGATACCCAACTCTGATATCAAACACTCAATCCAGAAACCAAAAGATTGGGGGTTTCTTTCATCTCTCCTATTGCTATTTTAAATCTAGAGAATCCAGAACCAAAAGACCAACATCTAATTGGGAAAGTGAAGATCTCAATGTCAGTACCAGAGAACAAGGCATGAAGGTAGGCATGTTATTATTATATTGCCCTAAGTAAACGGGCTACATTCTAGAATACCAGATGAGGTGTAAGTAGAACATATTTTAAACGGGCTACATTCTAGAATACCAGATGAGGTCTAAGTAGAACATATTTATAATAAATTATCTTCTGGAAGTTTTTAAAGTATTATGAATGTGTACACATCTATCAGTTTGTGTGAAAGAAATTATGGAGTGTGTATATCTGTGTGAACCATATAAATATTTCTGTGTAAATGTAGTAAAGATGTTGCCTGAACAACTTAATTATTTGTGTGCCTGTTTCAATATGGAATTTTGGGGATAATTTAAAGTTTCCTGTCTTGTGCAGTATTTAATTAACTCAAAATTAGAAATTGTGATCTTTTATAGCTATTACCTTTAAAATATAATGGCATCTCTTGTACTTTACTACAATATGACCCCATATTATACAATTAACTGGAAATAAATGTCGAATTTTGTATGTACTTTTTAATATAAAATTTTACTAGCTTTTTACATTAAAAGTTTTTTAATACATATTAAGGCACTGTGATTTACAAAGTTATTCCTAATTAAGTTTTAGGCATACAATATTCTAGTACCAATCCACCACCACCAGTGTCAACTTCCCTCCACCAATATATGTTCCTATTTTCTTTTTTTTTTAATTTTGGGGCCATACCCAGCAGTGCTCAGGAGTCACTCCTGGTTCTGCACTCAGGAATTAACTTCTGGAAGTGCTCAGGAAACCATATGGGCTGCCAGGGATTAAACCCCAGTTGACCATATGCAAGGCAAACATTCTACCCACAATACTCCAGCCCTGTGTATGTATTTTTATTCTTCTTAGGATCTGGTATATTAGAGTTTGGTTTATAAATAAAGAATATTCTATTTAAGAATTAGATATTTAGATTGAAACCATGCATTAACAAATTGTGTGACCTTGGAGAACTTATTTCACTTGAATTATCTTACTCTATAAAATAAGAATATTAGCTAATTCTCCAGTGAATATAGAACAAAGTTAGTACATGAAAGTGGACATATATTTACATGTAAGTTCTGGCAGTACCTAAGTATAGGAAGCATTAAAATCTTTTTTTCCCGGACTTAGGCTGGAGATATAGTACAGGGGTTTAGATGTTTGCACATGGACATCCCTAGTTTAATCCTCTGCACACATTTAAGAGTGATTCCTGAGTTACAGTGTATAGTTTCCAGCAAACCCCCAAAACAAAAAAGAAAACACATTTTCTTATTTTTGCAACAGAGATAACAGTTAGCAATTATTGAATACCTACTAGGTATTCAATAAGTCAGGTACTGATCAGTGAATTTTCTGTGTTTAACCAACATTATTAACTCATTTTCATATGAGGAAACTGGGGCATAAACTGATTAAAAAAAATGCCAAAGTTGCTCAACTGGGAAATGATAGACCCAAGATTTTAACTCAACATCTAACTCTCTAACCCATGTTCCTAATCACAACTCAGTACTTTTTTTGCTTAATAAGTATAAATTCAGTAATAATTAATATAGTAATGAGAAGATTAAAGCCTGATAAATTTAAAAGTTCAGTTTTTAAAATTAATATGAAGTTTAAACAAGTTATCTATATGATGAGTCTTGTCAGGAAACATGCAATAGAACAGTTTCTATATAACTTTATTGATTATTTCAACCATAAATGCGTTCTGTACCATTGGGAAATTTGGCTCATCATCAGTCTCAGAGTTAAAAGACTTCTGTTTCAACTTTCATTTGTTTTAAAAGTATTTATTCAGATGACAATGCTAGAAATTTGAGGTTATCTAGTTTAATCTCTTCAGTCTACACATGAACAAAACCCTGAGAGAAAAGAAGTGACTTCCCACCATAAAATAATTAGTCAAAGACAATTAGACCTGGTGTGACCCACCCTCCTGACACTTAATTTAAATTAAAAAGTCTTCTTTCCTCTGCCCAGATGATTATTTCAAGGTTGAGCCATGTGAATCAATTCATATGGCTCATGATTACCTCACTAGACAATAAGCACTATGAGGCATGGACTTTGGAAACCATATGGAAGAGAGATTTACCATCCATCAGAAGTCGATAATCAGGGCTGGAGCAATAGTACAGTGGGGACGGTATTTGCCTTGAACTCTACCAATCCTAATTCCATCTCTGGCATCATATATGTTTCCCTGAGCACTGCCAGGAGTAATTTCTGAGTGCAGAGCCAGGAGCCAGAAGTAGCCCCTGAGCATTGCCAGGAATGACCCAAAAAGAAAAACAAAAAAAGAAAGTCAATAATCAGCAGTATGATGGGTTGTATTTTAAAAACTAGAGTAAATAAAACAATGTCATGATTCTGATCAACCAAGTATTTTTTATATCAAACCCAAAGTAACTATACTATCTTTAAACACTACACACTTTTAAAGGAGTAGGAGGGAGGCTCAAACTCAAACCTGTCTCCATATAGCTAAAGAGCTATAATATCCATGGGAAGAAAACCAACCTTTTACTTTGGACCTAGGAATACAACAGAACTAAGGAAGCAACAGAAGAGCACAAATTTGAAACTACATAGAACTGGTTAGAATCCAGGGCCAGGGTGAAAGTAAGGACTTTGCCTTGACTTAATCTCTGGCATCTGATATGGTCCCCCAAGCATTATCAGGAGTGATTTGTGAGTGCAGTCAGGAATAACCCCTGAGCACTGCTGAGTGTGGCCCAAAAACCAAAGGAAAACCAGAATTGATTATATTCCCCATGCAATCATGCTGGCGGGATACTTTAGCCATTTTTATTTTCGGGGGGGGGGGGGGTTCACACTGGCGTTGCACAGGGTTTACTCCTGGCTCATGCACTCAGGAATTACTCCTGGCGATGCTTGGGGGACCATATGGGATGCTGGGAATCGAATCAGGTCAGCCATGTGCAAGGCAAATTCCCTACCCGTTGTACTGCTCCAGCCGCAGTTTAGCCTTTCTGACCTCAAGTTTGTTCATCTATGAAATGAGAGCATTGCAGCATGTGCAACACTTGCCTGTTATGCTGCCAGTGAGCATTAGATCCTCCAGGCCACATATGATCCCCCCAAAAAAACAGGAATGACACCTGAGCACAGAGCCAGGAATAAACCCTGAGTGTAGCCTGGTGTAGTCTAAAAACCAAATCAAAACAAACAAAACAAGAATATTTTACCTTCCTCATAGAGTCTCATAAACGATATGCAGTAAGGTACATTCAATTATGATGATATTCCCAAAGTGTTGATTTTTAATTAGACTATAATCCGTACATAAGCACTTGTAATATTCCTATTCCTCCCCAGCTCACCCCCACATGCCCTGCTTTTTGTAAGGATTAATAACCATCTACATTTTATCCTTCCAAACATTTTGGGAGTTTTCCTCCTCAGGCCAATCACAGCACAGAGGAGCACTTCCTCCTTCTGGGTTTCGCTGACTATCCCTCCCTGCAGCCTGTTCTCTTCGCTCTTGTCCTCTTCTGCTACCTCCTGACCCTGATCGGCAACTCCGCTCTAATGCTGCTGGCTATACGCGACCCGCGCCTGCACACGCCCATGTACTACTTCCTCTGCCACCTGGCTCTGGTGGATGCGGGTTTCACCACCAGCGTGGTACCGCCGCTGCTGGTCACCCTTCGTGGCCAGGCACTGTGGCTGGACCGCAGAGGCTGCATGGCCCAGCTGTACACGTCTCTGGCGCTGGGTTCGGCCGAGTGCGTCCTCCTGGCAGTGATGGCTCTGGACCGCGCGGCCGCAGTGTGCCGTCCACTGCGCTACGCAGGGCTCGCCTCGCCGCACCTGTGCCGCGCGCTGGCCGCTGCCGCCTGGCTAGGCGGCCTCACCAACTCGGCAGCACAAACAGCGCTCCTGGCCACAAGGCCACTATGTACGCCCTACCAATTGGACCACTTCATCTGTGAGCTGCCAGCTCTGCTCAAGCTGGTCTGTGGCTACGGCCGAGACACCATCGAGCGCCAGATGTTCGCCGCCCGCGTTGTCATTCTTCTGGTACCATCTTCTGTCATCCTGGCATCCTATGGGGCCGTAGGCCGCGCCATATGGGGTATGCGTACCAGCGGAGGGAGGAGAAAAGCATTGGGGACCTGTGGGTCCCACCTCACAGCGGTCTGCCTGTTCTATGGCTCAGCCATCTACACCTACCTGCAGCCTACCCATAGCTACAACCAGGGCCGGGGCAAGTTTGTTTCACTATTCTACACTGTTGTTACCCCGTCCCTTAACCCACTTATCTACACCCTCAGAAATAAGGAAGTGAAGGGGGCAGCACGAAGGTTCCTGGAAAGAAGGAAAACTGGACAGTGAGTCAGTGGGGAAAAGAAGGGCGTAGTATTATCTCAAGCCGCAGGATGAAAACATCCATTGCAAAAACTGTCAGCCTTTATATTGTATACTGTATGAGAACTGCAAGAATGGATCTCAGGGAGAGGGAGATTTTTTTCTCCCATCAGAAAATTTTAGAGTATTTAAGAAAAAAATCCCTGTAACTTCTATGTATTGGCTTTAAAGGGAAGACATGTGGGGGCATGGGGAAGGTCATCTGACTTTCTACTAAACTGAGAAAGAGAGAAAACATGATTCAGAGAATCAAATCCTTTTCCATCTTCAAAGGATATGCAACCACCGCATATTCACATGTGAGATGATACTTAATTTTCCGTCTCCTCTAGTCTGATGGAAGAGTTGATGAAAGATCCCATGTGTCTGCAATCAGATATTCTCATATTGAAAAGAAAACCATAAATTCTACCCCATAGGACACTCTATCCAGAAAAAGAAACATGTGCTCTTCTCTTGGGAAATCAATCCAACCTGATGCTCATCTAGCCAGATGATACTGCCATTACAAAGATCTTTATCCAGAAGTGTAATACGGAACAACCCATAGTGTTTCTGCTGGGTGGGTTTGTTTAATTCTTCTACAGGGCTGTGGATCTAAGCAAGTTTTAAGAAGAAAGGGAATTATATTCATGGAAAGAAGATAAACATATCTTGGGTTATGAAAAAAAACAACCGTGCAGCCCAGTAACAAAAAATGAGAGAGGAACAGTCACAGTAGTAAATAATAGGAGCAAAAATAAAGAAGGGATTTAAGTCCCCAAGTGAGGAGGAAACACTTCTCAGTAAAGGAAAAAGGATAAAAGCCTTAGTAGCTAGAATCCTGGGCAGAGTGTCAGGCAGAGTGCAAAAAACCAACTTCTATACCCTCACTCACAGATACTCTGAACCCAAAGAAGATATGCTAGACCCTAATTCAGGCAGAAATTACATAGATCCATAATTCCTCACCTTCTAGAAAGTCTGTTCCATTCTGGAGCACATCGCAAGAAATTTCCACTAGAAAATTTCTAAGCGCCAAGGAAAACATATTTTGTGAACACATCATCTCCAAACACAATTTAAATTGGGTGTGGTATATAGCGATTAAAAGGAGCATAGTGCCAGGTTTCACTTTAAGTAAGAAAAAACGCAGTTTAATTATATTTTAATGTGAAAATTATTATATCTTATTATGGGACCGTTAAGCCTTTGTCTAAGAATTTGCTAAATTGTTTATTGCTAATTGAGCCTTCTGTGTTATTGTTTTTCTTTGTTGAGTTTTGTTGGCTTCTAAGTCACTTTTCCATCTAATTTGGTGTGCTCCTACTGGAATTTTTGAACTGAGGAATTACGAGGTGTCATGTGGTCCAGAGATATCAGGATCTATGCTCTGTGCCATTAGCAAAGTGACGTTGAGACATCGATCTGGCTGCAGCGGTGGTGTATGGATGCAGCTGCTGAGGCTTCCCCAGGCAGGTACTCAGTCTGCCTGCCTTCCAAGGGCACCCCAGAGTTATCAGCAGCGGGGACGAGTGTGTCCATGAATGTTAGCTGCTTGGCTTATATCTTCTCAGAGATTTAGTCATGAATCAGTAGAGCAGGACCGGTGAATGAATCAACAAAGGCTATGGGAGGTGGACCACAAGTTGGTTTTTTATTTTTTTAACTTTTTTTATTGAATCACTGTGAGATATACCCTTGCAAAGCTGTTCATGATTAGATTTCAGTCATACAGTATTCCAACAGCCATCTCTCCACTAGTGTACATTTCCCAGGACCAGTTCCCCAGGTTCCCTCCCATCACCACCCCCACTCCCTTCCTGCCTCTATGACAAGCATTTTTCTTCTCTCTCTCTCTCTCTCTCTGACAAGCGTTTTTCTTCTCTCTCTCTCTGTCTGTCTGTCTGTCTCTGTCTCTGTCTCTCCTTTTGGGCATTGTGGTTTGCAATATTGGTACTGAAAGGTTATCAAGAATATCTCTTTACCACCTACTTTTAACCTTCAGATCTTATCCAGCATGATCAATCCCAGCTATTATTGTCTCTTCTCATACTGCTCTCTTCACAATCTACCTACCCTCAGCCCCCACACACAAATTGGTTTTAACCTATCTAAAGTGTGCCTTACATTTTTTCTGTTATAAGTAATATGTTCTAAATAATCCTGTCACTTAATCATTGTTATAATAAAGAAATGATAGTTAGAAATATTTGGCAGCCTTTCTCTCTTCCACACTCCAGATCTACTCTTGATCTCCTTCTCACTGATTTTGGAAATTATCAAAGTTGTAGGCTACTTATTCCCTGCAATGTTGAGAACCAGTCAGCCAATCCAGAAGCTCTAAGGGGGCTGCAGAAGCACATCTGATGTTGATTAAACCCTCAGTATTTTAAGAACCATGTAGTTTGGAGTTTGAACCAGAGTCTGGTATCTGCAATGCATCTCCTTTTACCATCTTGCACCCTCATATCCATATCTCTGGCCCAATACTGATTTGTTTTCTTTTTGGGTCATGCCTGGTGATGATCAGGGATTACTCCTGGCTCTGCACTCAGGAATTACTCCTGGTGATGCTCAAGGGACCATATAGGATGCCAGAGATTGAACCCAGGTCAGTCATATGCAAGGCAAACACCCTACCTGTTGTACTATCGCTCCAGTCCTTAATACTGAAATATTTTTATGTAATGCAATGTAAGACCTCCAGGACCAGCCACCACCATGCTGAGACCACTCTCCGCACACATGAAGGTACTGGCAGAGGGACAAAGCCATGCGGGTTCCGGGGCCGAGATCTCCCAGCCTACTCGGATTGGAGTTGAGCATCCTCCACCCAGATACTCCAAATTCCAGTAGGCGGGGGTCACACCCACCACCTGGCCCCCTGGCGCCGTGTAATCCCATCAGCGGCCAAGACTCAGAGACTATAAAATCCAGCTCTCGGAACTGTGCGGCCGCATTTGCGGCCGCGCTACATCTTATCAAGACATCTTTTTATGACATCTTATTATCTCATTACTACTTTGGACAAACTTGCAGGCTATCAAATGTAGCCTGCCCACAGGGCAGAGTCTGGCAAACTCCCCGTGGCATACCAAATATGCCAAATACCAGTAACAATGATGGGTCTCATTCTCCTAAAGAACCTTGAATATAATCTCAGGGCTAGGATGAAAGAGACGTTACTGGGGCCTGCTCGAGGCAATCGACGAATAACAGGATGATGAATGATGATGATGATGATGAATGAATGTAATTGCTTGTTAATAACCTACAGTAAATTAGTTTTGTGAACCTTTGTTTGGGGAGGTAAAGGAAGTTTAAGAGTCCTAGCTTCCAGGTCTAGAGAGATAGTACAGTAGATAAGACACTTGCCTTGCATGCAGCTGATCCAAATTTAATTCCTGTCACCACATATGTTTCCCTGTGTGCTACCATAATTGGTCCCTGATCACAGAACCAGGAAAAAAGCCCAATGCAAAGTTTTACATGGCTCCAAATCACTTGATCACTTGACATCCCGTTACTCCTCGATTTGCTCAAGCAGGCACCAAGAACGTCTCGATTCATCCCTGTCATGTGCTAGTGTAGCTCAATGATGTCTGCTCACTCCAGGAACATGAAGAGCCTCAAACCGATCATTCAGGGTCTTGACGAAGAAGCCTTACCATCTCGTAGGTGGGCAGCCACACGTTCTTTTGACATCCCATGGAATCCAGTCAGCAACGGCTCTAGTCCAGCAATCGTCACGAAACGCATTATGTGCCCAGCCCATCTGATTTTCGACGCCTTGGCAAATGAGACGGTGTCCCTAATTCTCGATTGTCGACAGAGGTTGGAACTCTGGACTCTTTCTCTCACTTGAGTGAAGCATGATACTCCAAGCATAGCTCTTTCGATTCCTCTTTGGGAGACCTGAATAGCATTCTCAAACTGTTTTCATAGAGTCCAGATCTCTGAGGTATGTGTTAGTGCAGGAAGAATGGTGGAATCGAAGAAATGTGTTGAGAGCCAGAGGTTTTTTATCTTCTTAGCTATTTCTTCGACGCTTTTGAAGGCATTTCATGCCACTATCTTCCTCCTGTGCAACTCAGGTGCGCATTCATCATGTTGAGTTCTCGACCTAGGTACATATAACTGTTACATTCAGAGATGTTCATTCCATGGAGAGTGAATGGAACATCAAGAATGAGTTCGTTTCTCATAAACATTGTCTTTGTGAGATTCAGCTGCAGTTCGACCTTTCCACACTCGCTGTCAAAGTCGGCCAGCTAATGTTTGGTGTTATTAGAACGATATCATCAGTGTAGCAGAGGTGGTGTAGTTGCCGACCATCTATCTTCACTCCCATTCCTTCCCATTCCAGTCGTCACATGACGTTTTCAGGGGTGGCACTGAAGAGTTTTGGTGAAATGGTATCACCCTACCGAACCCCTTCTCTTTACGTCAATGATCACTTCCTTGTAGAATGGTGAGAGCCTGGTAGTGAATCCTTAATACAGCTCACGGAGGATCCTGATGTACTGAGTTTGAATGCCCTGTTTGGCTAGGGCTTCAATGACACTTCAGTCTCAACAGAATCAAAGGCCTTCTTTATATCAATGAATATTAGACAGAGCAGCATCTTGAACTCCCAAGAAACCTCAATGAGCTTGGTCACCATGTGGATATGGTCAGTCAATCGTGCTGAATCCTTTTCAGAACCTGGCTTGCTCTCATGGTTGTCCTTCATCTAGTGTTCTGCCAATCCTATTCAGAGTAAACAGCTTGTAGACAGGCACATCAGGCATTAGTTGCCAAAGTCGTGGATGTCTCCCTTCTTTTATAGTAGAACAGTCCTGCAGGTTTTTCATTGGGATGGAATCTTGCATTCAGACAGGTAGTGTGTGAAGAGCCAAGCCAGTGTATTTATTGATGAGTACTGAAAGCAGGTTCTTCAGGTGTTCTTGTCTGACCTTGTCGGGCCGGGTGCTGTTGAATTCTTT